AGGTCCTAAGTAAAAAAAAAAATTATTAAAAATTTTTAATGACAACAAAACAGTTTGTAATGACAAGTTTTAGAGCAGTTATTATGTTTACTTGTCATTAAGATTTTTTAATAATTAGGTCTTTTATTTGAGACCTCATTACAACTCTTCCATATATTAAAGTGCAAGTTGAAAAATAAGATGTACTAGTGGGAACATGCGCATTGCGTGGCCACATGCGGTCGCTGCTGCTGGAGAATTCTTTAGATGTTGATTTTTTTTCTTAATTAGATTATTAGAAAACGATGTTGTTTTTCAAAATAAAAATAGGATTAGTTTCTTATATACCTAGTAATCATTTTCTTACGATATAACACACAAGACTTCTATATTGGTAACTTCATTATTTTATACAACTGATGAGTTGATGGAGATCAGATTGATTATACGAGTTAAATCCTATTCCTTAATTGCTATAACTGCAGTAGCTAGGTTAGATTTAGTTTAACATGGGTTTGTACTACTCCTTTTAGAGTTAAATATAAGAGCTACTCCCTCTTATCCTTATTATAAGAGCTATTCTAGTATATATATTTTTATAAAACCCTTTGATAATTTCAATGAGTATTAAATACTCCCCCCCCCAATATATGCCCATATTTAATGAGGGTATTGATGGACCAAAAATTAATATGATTTTGGAATTTAGTATAATTAATGAGGGCAATATTAACATTCACTTGAATTTTATGACTAATTTAATATTTTTAAATAATTTTATTGATACCTGCGAATTAGGTAGCCTATTCTTATAATAAGGATAAGAGGGAGTAGATAACTAGTCCTTCCTATCTCTTATATGAAATGCCTTCCAAAAATAAAGGCTGATCTAAAGTATAAGATGCCTAGTTAAAAAAATCAAATGATGTTCTCTTTTTATCCCTGTAATTTTAATAGATTTCTTGTAAATTAAGAAGGCATTATGAGGTCTTCCTTAGTGGGGTATAATTGTAATATTGGAATTTTTTGGTAAAAGAAACACAAAACGATCCAACTTTTGCATGAAGCATTTTATACAAATTAAGGACTGGACGGGGTACCTCACATGGATTAAGGAAGTTAATTTCATCATTAGTAAACAAATGAGTGGTGTATTTCTTAAAATATTTCCTCCAATCCTATTTATAAGTTTTAAATTTAGGGAGAGATACGTTGTATTTTATAAACTTCAATTTGGGTTGTTTTAACATTTAATTTTTTTTTCAAATTTATCCTTAATTATTTATTCTTTCTCCTTTACCTTACTCTCTCTCATCATATCTTCCTATACATTCTCTTTTATTCTTTTTCTCATTTATTACTTAGCCATATTTGAAAATAGAAGTATATTTATAACCTATTTATTACTTTTAACTAATTTTTTTATTATTCATAAATTTGTTATTTGAAGCTTATAATAAAATCATGAAGGAGTACCTCTCATTCTAATCATTTATGTTGGAAATTAACCCAATTTATGTAATCAATACGATAGTTGGAAAAAACAATAAAACCAGGAGACAAAAGACGTTAAGATGAATCAAATGTTGTGCGGATGATTTTTCACATGAAGACATAAAAGTATATGGGGGGAGGGGTACGAGTCGAAAATAAACGCTATGCATGACTTCACAGGCTCATAGCTTACCAAGCTTTTAGATTTTCTGTATTATTTAAAGCTCCGCAATGTGTGTCAAGAAAATAAACCAAACCTCATCAACCTTCTTGCAATTCTACTAAACCCAATCTTTTCTCATATTGTCTAAGAAATATGGCAGAAGGTGAGGTTGAGATTGTGTCCAAAGTCACCATAAAGCCAATATTTTTTTTTTCAAATTTATCCTTAATTATTTATTCTTTCTCCTTTACCTTACTCTCTCACATCATATTTTCCTGTACATTCTCTTTTATTCTTTTTCTCATTTATTACTTAGCCATGTTTGAAAACAGAAGTATATTTATAATCTATTTATTATTTTTAACTAATTTTTTATTATTCATAAATTTGTTTTGTGAAGCTTATAATAAGATCATGAAGGAGTACCTCTCATTTTAATCATTTATGTTGGAAATTACCCCAATTTATGTAATCAATAGGATAGCTGGGAAAAATAATAAAACCAGGAGACAAAATGTAACATCCCATTTTTTTTTATTTGTTTGGAGACTTAGTACAGGTAGTGCTATATATAAAAATTATTATAAAATAAAAGAGAAGAGAAACAATATATTTAGATGTAAAGATTAAATAGAAAATAAGAGTCTGAAATAATTAAAGAGAGCTATGTATAAATATTTAAAGATAAATAAAAGGGGGATAAAATATTTAAAAATATATATATTTAGGAAAGAATGGTTTAAATTTTAAATTTACCATATCTGATAGGATTTTGATAATAATAAGAATAATAAGTTAAGATCAGATAAGGGGATGGAGTTTAAATTTTATAAATTCTACAAATACCCAAGAACGTAGTTTCTATCTCATTGGTGGTTGCCGTAACGCAAACCTGATCGCTCTGTAGGTAGCTTCTCCTTTGTCCTTCCTTTTCTTTTGTATTCCTTCTCTTTTGTACTCTATCCTTTTGAGCCAAACCAGCAGTCTCTTGTCTCTTGTTCTTTTTCTTTTTGTTTTTCCTCATAGCAATCTTGACCGGCTTACCTTGTCCTTTCTTTGCAATCAACAAATCACTGGCGTGGTCTTCTCTCAAAGGTATATAAACATATATATTATTTTCTTTCTCACACACTCCTTATACACACACACACACACACATGCACGTCTCCCCACCGCTCCCTCTTCCTTTCCACAATTTTCCATCTTTAATATATATATTTGGATATGTCTGGATCACTACATACCCGTCCTATCATCAAATTGTACCCATGTATATAGGTGAATAATTTAGTTGCACATGAATGAAATAAAACGCGCATGACGTGAGCGATGATCAAAAGGCTTAAGGTTAGGAGAGTTTTGGGCCTTGTATCTAGTTACATATGTATATGAATGTTTAGGATAATTTAGTTACCTTGCCATATTACATTTTTCAAACTCACAATGTGGACAAATAGAATAAAATACATAATTGATGGTTTTGGATTAGAGATAACTTACTCCTGTTCATCTGGTCATCGTTTCTTTCCCCAATACATATGTGTACATATATACAACATCAATCTAGTTTATAAACTAAAATCTGCAGGTTTGGAAATTTCTAAAAAGAATTCAAGACCTTCCTAGAATTTACTATTATAGTGGACTAATTAGATTATAAAGGAATATGAATTTAAAAGAAGATTTATGTTTCCAGGAGATAAGTTATAAGACACTAAGATAACTTTGGAAAAACTTCAGTGTAGGTTTAGGATAGACTTTTACTAGTTTTGAGCTATATATATATATATATTAATATTATTGTAGATATGTGATTCTTGTAGCCTCTCACAGAGAGCCTTGGTTGTTGAAATTTTTGTTTAACTGCTTGTGGCTAAAGGATAACAGTTAACGTAGATTTCTACCTACTTTGCTTGCTAGTGACTCCTATGAGTCCTTTAATAAATATAGAATCTTTAGAGACATGTCATTTATTGTTTTGAGAAAAGATTTGCTAGGAATCATGAAAAATTCTTCTAGATCCAAAAGCTAACCTTGTGGGATGATTTCTGCAAATGACCCATATTTGAGTCTTACTGTTTTATAATTAGTTTTATTGTTTGTTGTTGATGCATGCTAGGTGCTGTGTAGTAATGCTATATATTGTGATTCGTGAGATTTAATCCTGTGAATTACTATACTATATGCCATTGCTATGATATTTTATGATTATGAAATATAACTATGGAAAATAAATATGGTGGAGGATTGATGGGAAATTGTGTGACATTGTGACCACGTAGTAGGCCGCCATATGGCGCTTTATGGCTGGCCCATATTACCAGGGCAGTAACCCTTGGCTTGCGACACTCCAGAGGTATCCCAGGCAGTAACCCTTTCTGGAGGAACCCATGGCCCTTATGTGCTTTGCCTACTTTGGCCGGTTTGCATCACACTTATGGGAAGCTTGCAAGAGTCAGTTATGACGTGGGTAGCAATTAGCCCATGGGTTCAGTTGACAGTTATAAGGAGGTTATAAGGTGAAACTGAAAATTTAATATATTGTGATAATGTGACAATTATGATGCATTTTATTTAGTTTGAATATTATGACATAATATGATCTTAAATGATATGCCTGTCTGCGTGCTATTCATATGCTATTGCTAACTATTGATTTAGAACTATTAGTCCTACCTGGCATCTCATAAGGGTACTAGTAGGTAAGGTGGGTAGGATTTATGTTACTGAAACAGTGGTCTCATTCTGTTACTTCATCAATTTCAGGTGAGAGCAGCAGGGGAGACGTAGTGGGGAAGGCACTGTATGTGTGAGGTCACTTATACTAGTGACTGTGCTTTGATTCTAGAATTTATGTTTGGTTTACGTTTAATTGCCACCTAGGAGCCATGATATTCTTTAGACTGTTAATAGCTTATTTTGGACTTGTTATTACTACTAGACTGTTTTGCTTCTTTGGCTATGGATATTTTTATTGATTGCCCTAAGGGCCTTAAACCCACAGCTGAACATTGCGGCAATTGCATCTAAATAAGTGGGTTATTTAGTGATGCCTTTCTTGTGATTTATTTTATATAATGTCTATGTTAATGGGTATGTCAGGGATTTAAATAACCATGTTAGGGGTTTAGCCTTTTTTTTTCCTAACATGGTTAAGGCGAAGAAGTAAGTATGATATTTTTTTATAACCATGATATGTGCTTGGGTATGGTTTTTCTTTTTATATATCATGGTTATTCAGCGAACAAAAAAAAAAGTTAGGATTCTTCTTTTATGTACCTAGTAAACATACGCAGGTGCTACTTGTATATTTAAGTATGGCATAATTTTATGTGGGATATTACACAAAAGACATTAAGATGAATCAAATGTTGTGCGGATGATTTTTCACATGAAGACATAGAAGTAGTTGGGGGAATGTAGCTACTGTTGTCCCATCACAAACCTTATGTGAGATGCACACACCAATTGCCATGCCTCCATAGCCTAACTCAGTAACCTGAACAGCCATTATTAGACGATCTTCATCGTCGTCGTCTAGTTTAGGCTTATAGGGATCTAATGGAAGAAACCCTTTAATCTCATTGAGTTGTTGGTTGGTATTATTGTTGAGAAAATCTGACAGCTTTGAGGGTGCTCTAGCTTCAAGGTAAAGGACACCCTCATCATTACAATCAACATTATAATTCCTTTTGCTTCCTTTGATTTTTCCACAGAATGGATAGTAGATAGTGAGAATTTGAGATAGCGAACTCTTCAACTTTCGAGAGATTTTGGGAAAATCATTATTAGAAGCAGAATAGAAGAGAACAACAGGAACATAAACAGAAGGAGGAGGAGCGATCTCATCAAGGAGAGAAATTTGGAAGTGTTTAAGGTGATTTGGAGTTGGTGATATTGGCTTTATGGTGACTTTGGACACAATCTCAACCTTACCTTCTGCCATATTTCTCAGGCAATATGAGAAAAGATTGGACACAATCTCAACCTTACCTTCTGCCATATTTCTCAGGCAATGGGAGAAGGAAGTGAAGTGGTGGCTTCTTCTTTGTCTCTTAATATGAAGCTTCATTGCTTTTTCCACCCAAAGGCATAGAAATTGACTTCAATAACATGATAGGCGAGAAGAATATTACAAAGAACAGACTCTTGTTTAGTAAAAATAGCTTATGTACCCTACAAGAAGAAATTTCAAGAGGTTGTGGCTTTAAGCCCACTAGAGTTGAAGCTGTGACAACTTTGATATGGAAATTAGCCTTGCAAGCTGCAAGAACCATAGAAACAAGTCACAAAAGTGGTTCATTCATGTTCCATGCTGTGAATATACGTGGCCGGATGCTACCACCATTGCCAAAGAATTCTCTAGGTGACATTAGCATACTTCACTTATTTGTTGAATTATATGAACGTTTCCATTCACTTGTTTAATTTGAGGTTTCAATTGACAAAATGTAGGTAATCTTTTTCTAATATAGGTAATCTCTTTGTATCTGCAATTTGTCCATTGTTTGAGGTTGACAAAGAAACAACGGTGGAGCTACAAGATTTGGTAGAAGTAGTGAGAAAAACCATAAAGATGGTTGATGGGAATTTTGTGAGTAAACTTCAAGAAGATGGTCAAGAACTTATTGAAATCCTTGAATCAATAAGACAAAAGTTGCATCTGGCGGCTAGGGAAGGTGTTCCTTGTTATATCTTCAGTAGCTGGGTGAGACTTGGTTTCTATGAAACAAACTTTGGATGGGGCAAGCCAACTTGGGTTTGTACTATTGGAGTGCCCGTAAGAAACGTAATCTTTTTTATGCCAGCGAGTTCTAAGGATGGAGGAATTGAGGCTTGGGTCACCCTGAATGAGCTTCATATGCTTCAATTTCAAAACAATCCTCTCTTACTCCAATTTGCTTCTTTTGGCCCTTAAATACACCGCTGTTCTTTATTATTACTTGCATTTATTTGCTAATATTTAAGTTGGTGTTGGAGTGTGAAGTGCGTGTATTTGCATATTGTTAGCTGAATTTCATATTATGTGAGTTGTTGGTTATGTATTGGATTGATAAAAAGTGATCAAGCAATTATATATATGTTGAAGCCTTAAGTGTTATGTCTACTGTATGTTAAAGTTTCTTTATCTACTTCATTCTTCTCTAGTTCTAAATGTAAAACTCATTTTATAGTGTAATATTTACATAATGAGTCTTGCAATTAGGATCGAAAGTTTTATCCCAAAAGTGTCCATTAACTTTTGTTTGGGTTTTGTAGTCACCTTATATAAACTACGAATATCTTACCTGAATAGGAAAACATGATAAACGCAAAATTCCTCTATCAACTTTAACTCACATACAGGCATAGGACTTTCAACTTTCTAAAACCCTAAAATGAAATTTTGAAAATTCCGTCACCTAAGATCAATGTTTACTCCTCTTGTCCTATTAACAAGATAGACGGAGAAGAAATTTTTTTAGCTCTATTTATAAGGTCTCTCAAGAGAACTTTTTTATATAAGTGTATAATTTTATCTTTTATTTATTATTATATTTATTTTATTTTCATGTGGTATAATATATATTGAATAGGGATGAATTTAGAAAGTTGTTGAATTTTAATGCAGAGTAAATAAAGTTTAAAGTTTTTTTTTTCCGGTCCGTGATTAGTATGGATGAAAGATTATGTTCGGCATCCATTCTATATTATTTATGTTACCAAGGAATTGATACTCCCTATTAACTCGAAAATCGATTTAAAGTATTTGATAAAGATCAGTGTATTAGAAATTTAATGAAGGTTATTGCCTTCCGCCACAATCCTTTTGGATAGCTTTTGTTGAAACGAAGATATAGACAGAGAGGAATCCACACATCGTGGTAATTGGGAAACCTCCCTCCGTAAAGGACCCAAAATCAAGTTGAATAATTCCTTTAATATGGGTTTTTTAAATATATTTTTAATCTTTGTTTTTATGTATACTTAGCTTATATATATTTATAATTATATTTATTATAGATCAAAACATATATTATATGTAACATGACTAGCCATGTAATATTATATTATAAATTTCATGCGCTTTTTAGTTATTACATATCTGAGTGCTTTTGAATAAAATTACGTGAACATTATATATATAAATGTATATTCATTTTGTTGATAGCACTATTGAGGTATAAACATTAGTATTACTATCCTTGCCCATTAATATAAAAGTTAAATAATTAATTTGATGATATTAATGAAGCTAGTTAAATTAGTTATTTATAATAAATATGTGTTGGTTTTCCTAAACTATTTTCTTTAATTGTGTACATTAGAACTATTCTTTGATAGGAACTCTTATTACAATCAATATAAACACGTTGAAGAAAAATAATAACTTTGGATCAAGTTCAACTCTCAACTAGCTCTTGTATTAAAAATATATATGATAATTCAGACATAATCATTCTAGAGTAAACTCAAATTTAACCAAAATGAAGTTTGTAAAATGAATTCTGGGGCCAAAAGCAAGTTTGCAAACATTACTCCAACCACATATTAAGTCACTTTGACTAATTCTTCTCCTTTCTTACCTGCTTCATATTCCTTCTATTTGTCAAACACATTTGTAGCCAAAAATTCACCTTTGCATGGAATCCTCTCCCCCTTTCCCTTTTCATATCCTACTAAACATGGCATGTAAGAAACAAGTCCTTTAATTTGTTAATCCTGATATTCAAATGGGTCCTCTTATTTCTGTTGGCAACAAGATATATATCCCTAGACCTTGAGAATATTGTCCAACATCTCTTTAGCAGCAATATGATAATGCGTTTGAAATTTTTACCACTTTGCAAAACCTAGGAGATACATGATCTTGAGGTAGACTATAATACAATTACGAGACTAATCATAATTAACATGATGTTGTTATCATTAATTACTCTTAGCATTTTTTTTTGGCCATAAATCACACATCCCCACTGTATTCTTTAGAGAGGATTCGAATTTATAACTTCATCCCTAATGAAAACTTTAGTAAAGCATTTGGTGTCATTGCCTTACAAGGCCCCAACTCTTGGCATTAATCAAACTCTATAATGCACTGCTGATGGATCATAATTATGCCCATATTACATACACAATATAAGACATGTCTTTATACGCACTCATTCATCCTGCTTTGCATCCATCCATTCATGTCACTTCAAAATTTGAAAGTAAAATATGACCATTTTAGACTTTTAAGATGGACACTACTAAAGAAAGGTCTAATTTCATCTATTCTAGAGGTCTTTTTTGGTCTGTTTAAAGAGGGACGCAGACAAATGAGAAATAGATAGAAGTTAGATATATATCTGTTATGAACAAACGGATATGTGCCTAAAATATTTGTCCATTCATCCACAACAGACGAATATGTGAGCACATATCTGTTGCTGAATAGAAGAATATGTGCTCACATATTCTTTTGTTCTCGCCGAACATTGATTAAACCCAACTCTTTATTGTCTTTTCATATTATTTTAAGGGTTTTTATCATAATTAGTAGCTCTTTTAGTGTTTATTGTGCTTAAATTATATTAAAGTGCCTTACCTTGAATTAGTGCATAATAGGGGCAAAATTGTCATAATTGGAGATTAATTATTATTAATTGATTTCTAGGATAATTGATGCTATATTATGTATGATTTTCCTTGTAGGTACTTTGGGAGAAATTTGGGCAAATTTGGAAATCACACTTTAGTCCCAACATTAAAGGTAGTAAAAGACCGGATTAATAGCAGAAAAAGGCCCCAGAATTCAAGAAATTACACCAGAGGCCCTGAGTAAATGAAGCTTTGCGTTTTGGCTGAAAGGTACCATCCGCCGTGGCGGATGGACAAATCCGCCGCGGCGGATTTGTCAGAATTGCAAAAGTCGCGATTTCAGCATTCTAATTCGGATCCCTAAGCTTCAACCCGACCCCAAACCACCTCTAGTAACCAGTATAAGCTGAGTTTCAACCTAGGGAAGCCTCATTCGGTCTCTCCTCACCTCTCTTTGGCTGAATCATCCTCTCATCTCCTCATTCCACCAATTCTTCATTACATTCCATCATATTTCCCTTTAATCCATCCATAACCTCTTCTTCCATGGAGATTCAACTATTGTTGCCGGTTGGAGCAATGCTTGGAGTGATGGAGGGCTAGGGGTTCTTCAACTCTTGAAGATGGTTGATTGGCATGAGTTCCAAGAGCTTCAAAGGGGAGTTAGCTTCATCCATAGTTCTAGTTGTTTATTTATAAATTTCTAGGTCTTAGGATTCGTAAATTGGGGCTGAACTGTTTTGATTATGGTTGTAATCAATTCTGGATGATTATCTTGTGTATTGGATTAGTTAATGTTGAATTTGAGCTTCAATATATGTGGTTACATATATGTTTCTATGCAACTCTTTTGATACTCTCTTTCTTGCATGGTATTGTTTGATTGTTGAGTTAATCTGGGCTTGCATTAAACCAAGTGCATTAATTAATCTTAATACACACACTAAGTAAGCTTAATAGGATCTTATAAGATGGGTGGCCATTGATTAAGATCCTAGACTTGAAGGGTTCTTTAAGGTTTTTCCTTTAGAAAACTTGGTGATTTTTACTCCCCAAAATCATTTTGAGCTATGATTGCCAAAGGTCCATTTTCAAGAGGTTTTATCAACTGTTTCAATACTTGTTTCCCATTCATTCCATCGTAATTTCCCAAAAATCCAAAAATATATTTACATTGCATTTTATCTCAATTAATAGTTTTAATGAAAACCCCCAACTTTACCCTAGTCAATTTGCATTTTCATGGCATTTAGTTAACTTAGGATCAATAGTTAAGGCTCCAACAAGTGAAACGACCCGAGGTTGTGCCTATAGTACAATCCTTGGTTTTAATTTTGAATTTGACCCTAAGGTGTAAGCAAGACAGGTCACATTTCAAGTGGCGCCGTTGCCGGGGAGCCAAGAAATTGGTTCCCTAGGTTAACTTGTGTCAACTCATTGTTGACTAGGGTTAAGAGCCTTTTTAGGTTGCATTTAGGTAGTTTATTTGCATATTTATTCATAATATAGGTTTTCATTCTGCCTAGCATCAAAATTTTGAGAAATACAAACAAAAATCCTGATTTTCTTACTTTTCATACTTGCATTCTTGCATATAAGTTCATACTTTGCATTTTGCATTGGCTCTCCATTGGTGTATTGATTGGTTTTTCTTGCACCAATTGGTTTCTTGGCTTGGTTGCTGCTGAATAGTTGGTTGTGTTGCTTTAACTTGTGGTTTGATATTTTGTGAATGTGCAATTTTGGTTTTAAATCCATTTAGATGCACACACCATCTCTCCAAGTCACTTATAATTGGTTTTGAAGGTGTTCACATTAGGAAATTGGTTTTGAACTCATTTGCTCAAAGTTGATTTTGACAACTTAAAGTTTTGGAGTGTATAGAGAAAAATTTTGGTTTAATATCTTCAATTTTGTATCCAAGGGTTTTTGCATGAAAAGTATTCATATTCAAGTGTATTTAACTTCTTGGAACTTATTTTGATTGGTTTAGAACTTTGGTTGTTGGAAAAATTCAAGTTGGCATCTAATCTGAAACTTTTTCTGAATTTTCGCTGTTACTGTTGGTGGTTCTGTGAAATCCGCCGTGGCGCCTCTTCAAATCCGCCGCGGCGCCTGTCTCCAACACATAGAAAATTTGATTCTGTGAAATCCGCCGTGGCGCCTCTTCAAATCCGCCGCGGCGCCTGCACCGTTTTCAAAAAAAAAAAATCTTTTTCTTTTTCATTTATTCTTATGCACACACCTCATACACACACTTACCACCCATACCATACATCTTATACATATTTTCACACACTTGCATTCATCACATCTCATCTTTTTATTTGGCTTTGTGTGCTTTTCAGGTCAATTTTGTTTTCTTCTATTTTGATTTGAGTTACTCTCTTGTATGCCCCGAAAGACCAAACTTGTACCTTATAATCCTGAGATTGAAAAGAGTTTAAGGAAGATAAGAAAAGAAAAGAGAGCTGAGGGGACAAGTGAGGTAATAGTTGAAGAAAATATCTCTCTAGAGTCTAGTTTTTCTAGTAGTGAGAGTGAATCAGTTAACGAAGAGATAATGGCCGACATCCCACCTAATCCACCCAACCCTAACCCCAATAGTAACCAACTTAGAAATGGTGGTAATGGAGGAAATGGAGAGCATGAGAGAGTTGGAGAGAATAATGGCAACCCTAGAAGAAGAACTATTAGGGAAGCCACAACATCTGATGTTAATTTTGATCCCTTTACTGCTGCTTGCCCTAACTTTGAAGTAAACTTTGAAATTAAAGGTTTATTAATTAACTCACTTCCAAAGTTTCATGGCTTGTCAGGAGAAGATCCATACCTCCATTTGCAATCTCTTTCTATGGTGTGTCAGAGTATGAAGCCTGTGGGAGCATCACTGGACCAAGTCTTATGGAAGGTCTTTCATTTATCGTTGGAAGGAAAAGCTAGAGAATGGTATATGAGTCTTCCAAGACATGTGGCAGATGCTTATCACAGTTGGGGGAACTTAAGGAAAGCATTTTTAGAGAAATACTTTCCGGCTTCTCGCACTTCATCAATGAGAAAAGAGATCTATTCAGCCAAACAAGACTATGATGAGTCACTGTATGACTACTGGAATAGATTTCAAGATCTTCTTTCAAGATGCCCGCACCATCAGATACCGGAGGAACAACTGGTGCAGTATTTTTATGATGGATTAAGAAATCAAGAGAAAGGTATGCTAGATGCTGCATCAAGAGGGTCTTTAATTGACTCAACTGCTCAAGAGGCATGGGGCTTGATTAAAAAGATGGCCTTGAATCACCAACAATATGGGCCTAGAGATGCAAGAGCTATGCAAGAACTAGGACTTTCAACTGCACATGCTAAGAGAATCAATTCTTTGGAAACCAAGGTGGATTCTCTCGAATCCAAGATCACATCTCATCTCTCTTTAATCACTGCTGAATTGAAGAATTTGAGTGTTCAAAGGACTTCTTCCACTTCTCAAGCTTTAGTTGCTCCAAGCTGTGACACTAGTGGATCTGTTATGCATGTCAGTAGCTTATGCCCTAACACTCCTGAAGAGGTGTCTGCTGTCTTTCAAGGGAGACCAAACCATGATCCAAAATGGAATCCCTACTCTAACACCTACAATGAAGGATGGAAGGCTAATCCAAATTTCAGATGGAGCAATGGGGACAACAATAATAACTTCAAGGGGAGTACTTCTAGAGCCATGATTCCTCAAGAGCAATATTCTAGAGATGATGATAAGCTTGGTCAAATTCTCAAAGGCATTCAAGTGATGAATGATAATATCTCAAAGAATGAAGTTAGATCTGAAGCAAGATTTGCCTCTATTGAAAGTAAGATGGAGCAAATGGAAACCAGGGCCAACAACCTCAGTTCTTATGTCACTCAATTATCTAATAATATAAGTGACCAACAAGCTAAGAATTCAGGAACTATGCCTTCCAACACTGTCATTAATCCTAAGTCTGTGAATGCCATATGTCTACGAAGTGGAAAGAAAGTTGGACCTATTCAAAACTTAAGTGATGATGAAGAGGTGGATGAAGAGATTGAGGTTGAAAATCCACCCAAGAGGTCTGAAAGCTCTAAAGAAATGAAGCTACTCAAAAAGGAGTCCACTAAAGAGCACAAAAGCAAGGAGAGCAAGAAGCAACCAGAGACAAGCACTCATGGAACCTTAAGCAATGAGGGTAAGGAGGTAAATCTCAATGAACTCCCTTTTCCTCACTCTTACTTAAAGAGCATGAAAATTGCTAATGAAAAACAAGATAATGAGTTGCTTGAGACATTTAGAAAAGTTGAAGTTAATATACCCTTGCTTGAACTAATTAAGAAGATCCCTAAGTATGCTAAATTTTTGAAAGAGTTGTGCACAAATAAGAGGAAGTTTAAACCTAATGAAAGAGTTCAATTACCCTCGAGTGTGTCTGCCTTGTTTAAACCACAACTCCCAATTAAGTGTCAAGACCCCGGTTCCTTTACTATACATTGTACTGTGGGTAGGACAACCATTCCTAAAGCTTTACTTGATTTAGGTGCTGCAATTAATGTTATGCCTAAATCAATGTATGAGTCTTTACAAATCAAAAGCCTCAAACCTACCACCATGATGCTTCAGTTAGCTGATAGGACTGTGAGGTATCCACATGGCTTCTTAGAGGATATTCTTGTGAAGGTGAAAGATTTAGTTATCCCTGCCGACTTCTATGTTTTGGATATGCCTAATGAACAAGGTGGGGATGGAACTCTGATTTTGGGTAGACCCTTTCTTCGAACTTCTAATACCAATATTGACATGCAAAAGGGTTCTATCACTATGTCTGTTGGGGATAAATTTGCATATTTTAATATGTATGAACAAATGAAACAACCGCATGAAGACTATTCTATGTGTGATGTTAATGTTATTGATGGGTTGTTCATAGATAAGCTTGATAATGTTAATGAGATGCATGTTTCATCCCCTATTTTTGATTCTGCTTCCCCCTCCCTTTTAAATGGTAGTGACGTGGACTGTTCTACTGTTCATCAGTTAGATTACACCCTTTCCACTCCATCTGATTATGTTATTACTGATGTTGCATTTGCGAAGTCTTCTACTAACCCTCATGAGCTCGAGAAAGGCTTTGTTTTTGATGATGTTACAGGTGTTAGTAGAGCTGAAAAGACTTCCAAGGAAAAGAAATATTTCAACCTTTTTAGGGAGCTGCGTGCCCTGAATGCTGTGCATGGACCTGTTACAGTTCCAGTTGTTATCCACCCTACCATCTCTACACCCTCAACTGAGACAACCTATCAAGAGATGGTGGCTGCTCCTATTGATAGAAAGAAAGTGGATT